ATGCCAGGCAGAGCAGGTGCCCTTCCTGAGCGGCATGAGCCAAGCTCACTTCAGCCGACTGATGCAGGAACCCGGACGGCGCAATCCCAAAGGTTGGTTTGTCTCTCTTTCTGAAGCCGACCCTGCAAAAGGGTGCCCACAAAATGGCACACCCGTTTGTGACTGTGAAAGTATGGTATACATGTTCTCACACATGTTGACTGTCTACATGGCAAAGTTTGGTACCTAAACAATGAAATATGTGTATATATATATATCGAGATAGATATGTGTCATGTTCATGCACACTGACATGGAGCGTTTACGTGAGCCTAGAAGGGCTAGATCGCAAGTGGTGTGCTGCGCCCTCGATTGGATCCCTTTGTTGTTGACCCTTATTTGGGCCTTTTTTGAGTGCCTTCTTGGCATAGCGAACCCCATTTTCAGGTTTGGCACGAGGGTTTTCGGTCAGGTTTTGAAGGTCGATTCAGTCAATTTGGGATTCGGACGAGAAGGGGGCACTCCGTTTCACCAAGACGAGTGCACCGCACGCAAAGTTTTCCTTTTTATAGCATCGTTTCGCGTATTTTTTGTCCGTGGCTCAAGTGACAATGAGTGGAACAGCTGCATCTCTGGGTAGATAACGTCACGAAAAGTTAGTGCGGCTGTCCTCTTGACTCTTTGTGATAGTTTTGGGTAGACCCCTTTGGTACGCGGTTTTGGTTATGACTCCTCTCAGGAGGCCAAGTGGGACATGATCATGGCCGACCGCACGGTGGTGAGGCAGGGAAGCTTCTGCCATTGTGCTCGACTTGGCCCATTTGGCTTAGCGTTCTGTTGTCAAGTTGCTTGTGTTTGCTTGCTTGCTTGCTTGCTTGCTTGCTTGCTTGCTTGCTTGCTTGCTTGCTTGCTTGCTTGCTTGCTTGCTTGCTTGCTTGCTTGCTTGCTTGCTTGCGTGCTCGATCGCTTGGTTCTGTCCTTCCATGCTTGTGATTGCTTGAGTGCTTGTTTGTTGTGGTTTACGTGTTGGGTTGTTAGTTTGGTTCCATTTGTTTCTTCAATTGTTTCCTGATTTGTTTGTTGTTTGTCAAAGTCTTCACAGGTCCCTCGTGTCCTGTGCCCCTTTTGACAGTACTTGGAGGGCACTGACTCGTAGGGGTTTGTAAATTCTAAATGATTCCAGCAATGTTACGATCGATGAGGGCGCACAAACCTGAGGGGCAAAGGCTTGAGGTTTCCAGCCGGATAGTTCGAAGTTTGGATCGCAACATGTTCTGTTGTTGTGGTTCGGTGGTTCTGTTGTGAATCAAGTGAAGGGTGCTCGATGGGAGGCAAGGCAAGGAGGGCGATGCCTTACACCTGCTGTGCTACGGCCGTTGCCCCAGTGGTTCGGCACAATGTCCGCGTAGCACCACCCTTGTCCAACTGGAAAGCGGGCAATTGGAAGCTGGCCCATAGTAGCCTGCATTGGGCCCTATATATTCAATCCTGTTTGGTGGGGCAGATACAGTATGTTTAACGCTGTTAGTGGACTATTAGGTTATTTTAGCTCCCCATGCTTTTATATGGCTATGTATGTGTGTATGTATATATATATATACTTATATATGTGTAGTGTGATGTACATGGTTTAACAAATAGATGCACTTGCATTAGAGAAAATTATGTGCAAATGGCAGACGGTTCAAACCGTCCAGCCTCAGCCACGTTGTAAGAGGTCCTGCACCTTCCAAGAGAAGACACTTCTTTCCATTGCAAGCCCCGACGTGGAGACCTGGAGGTATCGCCGTGCGGGCGGTGGACGATGTGGTCCTTGGAAAGCCCATAGTGCCGCAGACACGTTGGCAGACGTCGGCAAATGTTGGGAAACTTTCGAGGAGCTTTATGAGGGGGAAAGCAGTATAGTGAGCAGCAATTTCACCGGCAACCAAGAAGTGTGTGGTTGCTTTTTGGGGATTTCCAATCCCCTCAGGAGGTGAGTAGAAAGTTGCTGGCCCCATGTCTTTATTGGTTGGATATGCAATGTTTGTTACTACATCGAATGTTATTGAGAATACCAAGGTGATTGTTGAACTATCCCCCTGCCTGAAACTTCCAAGTGTTACTGCAGTGTTACTCACTTGTTTATTCTCTGTCAAGTTCCTGGTGCGGTTTTTCGGCCAGGCGCCCGGGGAGGTCATCAATCGTGCCAATTTCCTGGGGCTCGCCCATCGCTACCCCGTCACTGCCCAGCCCTCGGGTGTTCCCCGTTGATTGTTTTAAGCAGGGTCCCCAGCTAGAAAGTCAATACCAGCCGATTTAGAGGATTCCCTGGTAAAGCAGGTAGTTGTTGGTATTCTGTACGGCATCTTCTTAAATCATGTTGATCTGAGTTTATCCTTTGGGGTGATGTGTTTGAAGACATGTAAGACACGATGGGTGGTTCCTTAGTTTGGGGAGCGGTGATTATTTGGCGGTGGGCCATGCAACAAATCTCCCCAATTTAAGCCACCCGCTATGGAAACGACAAATTAAAATGTGCTACAAGAAGTTGGGGTTTGCTTGTAATTCAAGATGGATTTCCACCCCAGTAGCGAGGTCAGAACAAGGTAGGGTTGCGGAAAAACATGAGATGATATGCAGTCAGGCTATTGGCAGATTTCGAAAAGGTACGGCGTTCAAGCTTCACAGCACAGAACGCGCAAAACCAGACAGTTGCCTCTTTCATGTGTTTCACGCTTGCTGTGAAACACGACGAGCCAAGTCCAAAGCGTGAGATCAATTCACCTAGCCTTCTCCACCACGCAAGTGGACATGACACGACACGCCATTCCACCCCCAACACATTTACTTTTTGCTCAGGCTTGTGTTTGAGTGACCACCCAAGGCCGACTTGCCCAATGGCAGCTGCCATTTTTGTTTGCTGCAGTGCCATTGAGAACTTGTTTGGCATGTGGTCCAAAGGACGTACCATGCACTTGCAGGAGTTCAGCCGTGGGTCACCTGCGTATGCATTCATGACGATCATCTTTCTTCGGGCAAACAACCAAAGGCTTTTAGTTTCAAGCCCACTTGAGTTTATGGGGCGCAGAGTATCATGTACATCTATGTATATAACTGTGTAAGTGTCTGTATCATACATATGTATATATATATAGCTATGCGTGTGCTAATTTATGCACTTGATCATCATAATTCTTATTCTGCGTTCCTGGCCTTGGCCCTAGCCTGAGCATTGTGCCGAGATTCGCACGCAGACCGTGTGCCACTTCCGTGCGGGGCCCCAGAAATCGGATGTGGGCAACGTGTTCGATCAAATGTAGGGAGCCATGTGGGTGTGTTTTTGTTAAAGAGTTGGTGCCCTTTCCAGGTTGGTTTGAAGGGAAATGAAAGGGAACACCCCGCATTTGGGCGGCTGGCCTATTTTAAGATGCCATATTGTTGGGGAAGTGTAGAGGGCGTTTGAACATTGAAGGCGATCTGGGAGCCAGCTTGAATATATATATATATATGTGTATATATATATATATGTATATATATATATATATATATATTGGGCCCCCAGTTCTGTTGGCCTTCCTGGCACGGAGCCCGCCAGAAGGTCGTCCTTATGCCCAGGCACACTGAGACACACGCAGCTCCAGAAGTCTGCCTGGCTCTCTTTGCCAGGGTTGACCATTCATTCGCGTTTCATAAGGGAAAGGTTAAACCTTTACATATAAACGGTTTTCATAGGATTTCATGATATAAACTGTTAGATACGCCTGATTCGGGCGAATGAAGTGTTTGGCTCAGTTTCCCTTCCACTTGTTCGGGGAGAGCCCCACGCGTGACGCGTGGCGCCAGGCTGCTGGAGTCCCAGTTGACCTTGCGGGAGTGGTTTGAGCTGGCCAAGGTGCAGGTGGAGCCCTTGGTGTTTTCGGACGGTACCCCTTGATTTTTGTCCAGCCCTCGTGGCCGTAGCACTCCTCTCTCTTGGGGGGAAGCAAACCATGCTCTGGTGGGGGTCCGTACCGCTCTTCAGCCCAGTGGTTGGCCGTTTCCAAAAGCAAGGGCGAGGTCGGGGAAAGGGGCGCATGGATTTGAATCCCAGACAATCGCACGTGTGATGTCTCGGCTTTTTGCAGAGCTCTTCTGGGCCTTTTGCGCCACACGTATGTCCTAAAACGCTCAATAGGAATTTGAGTGAGACCTGTATAAACCGTCATAATTATTTTGGTAGAACTCCAAAAATGGATTTTGGGCGCTGCTTACTTGAGCGGAAATCATTCGCAGACTGGGGTGGTCTCGAGAAGGGCAGTTTGGCCGTTGGTGTGAATTTCCGCCAGGCGCGGAATTTTTCGGAGTACGACCATGCGCAGAAGAAGGCTGGGTTGTTCAAATCAAGCCGCAAGGTCTTGTGGTGTCCCTTGCATTGAGTGTCCCACTACGGATTACGGATTAGGGATCCTCGCCGTTGCAACCTAGGAAGACTAAGAGATTTGGATTTGGAGCCTACGTTGTTTCGTCCACTGCCCCGAAACGTGAGCATTTGATGCAAGCAGTGCGTAGAGAGCTGCGTTAAGGTTGCACTATACGGTCTCCCTGAATATGGTTGCTTTCCTGTGTTCGTTTCTTGGAGCAAGTATTGAACCACCGAAAGGCTGTGCCAAGCAACAAAGACACCCAGTCTTCCATCAGGGTTGAGTGCTCATGCCACGCGTCTTTGATTTTGCGCCAACACACAGTTGTTCTGGTCAATGCTGCCTGGGAATAGGTGGCGATCTTCCGGGCGAAGATGAGGCGGGAACTTGCGTAAGCTTGCGAGAGCCTAGATCAGAAACTCTGCTGTGAAATAAGCGCCATGCCTTCAGAGCATTTGTTCATGAACGGTTGGATTTCGCACTTGCACACCTGCTGGCAGCCAGCTTCACAGCAACCAAGTGAGCACGAGATAAAGGGCAATGCAGAAGGCTTCTGACAAGCTGATTTGGGTGTATGTCAAATATAGGGCAACCCCCCAAAATGAGCGGCATCCTTGTGCTTTCCCTTTAAGCCCAAAAAGAGTACCGAGCCTCAAAAGACACCTACATCCTGGGAAGAAATCATGCATGTTCCGAGTTTTGGTTGTGTTGCCTGTGAGGCGGCGCACGGAGCAAGCCTTCAACAAGCACGCGGGGGCCTCAGGGGAAGCTGGGCTATGAATTTTGACAGAAAGCCTGAGTCCCTCACTTTGGTGACCTTGGGGGGGGGTAACTTTGATCGATTGAATCTGCTGGGGAGTTGTCCCTTGGAAAGTACTTTAAGATATACTCGAGAGGTAGCTTTGAATCTACGGCTGGAGTCCTTGGAAAGTCACTTGCGATGAACAGCCCTCGGGGAGGCCGACAAGTCCAAAGGATTCTTACGGACTTCGGTTGCTTCACTGCACTCGGATGTTGCTTCGCTCCGCGGTGGTGGCACTGGACAAGAGCAAGACACGTCCCCCCACACCAGAAACTTCCGATCGCAGAGCTTTGACGGTTTCTGCTTGTTACGAAATGTTTCAACGTCATGGTTCGGCAAAGAGATTGGAGAAGGGTTTCGCTGAACCCCTTCGCTACTTGTAAAAAATGACGGCACGTTGGTCCGTAGAGCTTTTCACGGAACAATCCACCCTTCGCGGAACTTGTTCGCGGGACTGTGGTGGATTGCTTTCAAGGGCAGCCAAAAGGAAGCAATTCGGTCGCGCTTTTGTGGGTCCTTGTTTTCCCCATCCTGTTTTTTCACCAAAAGAAACCCTATTTGTTGCAATGCGCCCAGGGTGGTGGATTTACTTGCTGTATATGGCTTCTCAAAACTACCGCACTCCCAACTGGTTGGTTTCCTTTGGTTTCCCCTTCGGTATTGGCATGATCATCCACAGCTGGACGGGCGTTCCCCATTTTGAAGCCCTTGAGGTCCAATTCATGCACGCCAACCGAGCAAGGGCACAAGGCTGACAGGGACCGAAAGCGGGGGGGGGCTGATCTTGCATGGCCTTGGTCACGGTTTTGGGGTTGCTTTATTTTCCCTTTCAAACTGCAAAGGGTCTGGTTTGGCCCAGTGGTCGTGGACCTCCAAAAGTGTCAGTTTCATTGGCACCTAGAGGTAAATTGATAAAGATTTGAAGGGAGGCAATGGCGAAATGAGGCTTTTGGTTTATTTGTTTTGCAGCGCTCGCATCTTTGGAAAGGCAAGCAATGTGCTTGCAGATTCAATTTTCCACTAGCCTTTGCAGCATCGTTGACCACGAGCGAATTCTTGGGAAGCTGCGATGTGTGCGTGGACGATGTCAACACCAGGAACCGATTTGAGCCCACCCAAAACCGATAGGCCTCAAACTGCAAAAACAAAAGCCTCTCACAACCGAATGATGTCCTAGTAATATTGTCTGCACAAAATTCCATTGGTTGAACCCCTATTCTCTTTACCATCCTTTCTGCTCAGAAGGCTGTGGCTCACGAAAATGTGCGCGCAATTGCACCTGGGGATACGGAAACAATGGCTAGAATCTGCGTAACCCCAGCTGGTTAATATTGAGCCACACACGCATAAACCATCAGTTTCTTGGCAGTGTGTGAAGAGAAGGATCCTTCAAGAGGAAGGGGGGGGGGTACGGCTAGAACAATGAAGATTGAAGGTGTCATGTTGCACTGGGCATGTCACTCAGAACGGTGTGGAGGGACCAGGGGTCTTGCCAATGATTGGGTGTGTCCGTAAACTAGCACCTCCGCAAATGACAGTTTTGTTTTTTGTTTCTGAGGCAAACCGCCAAACTGCACCACCCTTAACCCACCCAAAACCAACCCCAAACTTACCTAAAACCACCTTAAGCTATTTGTACCCCAGCCCGAGCCAAACCTGAACCCGCCCGAAACCCATCCTAAAACCACATTCTCAACCGTAAACCCATCCGCCATCCCACCCTGACCGAAAACAAAACCGAAATGTAACCACCCCACACCCCTTTTACACACCCTGAACCCACCTGATTCATCCTAAGCCAGCCCAAAACCAACCCTAAACCCACCCTACGCCAACGTTAAGCCAAAACCCCCCCAAGCCACCCTAAATCAACCCTACTCAAGCCGACCCCACACTAACCTTAATGAAGCCTAAACTAACCCTAGCCCCCGCGGTCATCGTTGCAGCTCAGCCGCGAGCGGACCTCCCTGCAGGACAAGAGCAAGCAGACCATCACCAGCCCTGGCATTTGTTGCTGGGGAGTTTGTTACTGGAGACAAAGGACTACGCCCGTCAGAACGTTGCTGAAGCAGGCTTGTTTTTTTTTGCAAAGTATCTCCTGGCGAGTTTGAACTTTGCCCTCAGGTCGATGAGGCCCGACGGCGCCAACACTTGCCAACAAAAACCTTTCCTTTTTTTTCAACCCTCAAACCCTTGCTTGGGAACCGTCTGCAAGAACCTTGTTTGTCCAACCCTGGGAAATCCTTTCTTTTCAACCCCCCACCTTGTTTTGTTCACCTTCCACCTTGTTTTTTTCACTGCCTGCCTTGTTTTTCTCACCCTCGGCCCGGAAACAGGATTTCCTACCAGGTCCCCAGTAGCCTCCCTCTGACCCTTTAAACACAAGCTTCCCTACCCCCAGTAGCGCTTAGGCGGGCGTCCTGCAAGCTAAGGCACGCGACACGTCTTTACCATGTCCGCACGCTGGGAAGATTTGGCTTTGGAGGCGAGCTTGTCGCGAAGGGTTGCAAGCGCGAGCCGCGCATCTGTGCAGGATGTTGAGCAGTTGTGGGCCGGGCGCCCGGAGCCCGTTTTGCTCGGCTGCGCTTTTTCCACGTCTTGAGGTGACATCTGACGCCTCCTTTTTGGTCGGACCCTTGGAGCCGCTGTCCTGCGCGCAAGTTGAAGCCCCGTTTTCTGCAACGGCGAGCGGCGGAGATTTCCAAGAGGCTCCGCTTTGGGCTGCGGAGGGCAGGCGGGTAGGGCAATAGCAGCGCCCGCCGCGGAGGTGCCAAGCTTCTTGGACTGGCTGCAGTCCGGCGCCGCGAGCTTGTCATCCAGTCAGACGTTAGCAGGGCCCCTTTGCGGTCAGTCAGCATTTTGCCAAGGTGGCAACTCCAGCCGCGTCGGACAAACGTCGCAGCCGCCGCCGCGGAAGGCGCGTGGTTTGGGCTCGCGCCTCAGCGCGTCCTGGCAAATTTTCTGCGCGCGAGCGCTCTGATCTGAGGTCGGCGGCTTTGGCGTGAGGGCGTTCGCGCTCGCCTTGGGTCAACAGATGTTCCTTTTCGCAAGCATCTTGCCGGGGCTGCCTAGGACCCAAACCGGTTTGCCCCGCCCCCGGCGGGCAAGTCTGCGGCCCACAGACAATTTCTCGCAGTCAAGATTTTCACGCACGGCAGGTGGAAGCGCCCACGCAGCGGAGGGCGCCCAAACGCCCGGGCAGTTTCCGGCCGCTGTTCGTTTTTGCGAAACGCCGGCAGGAGCAGGCCCAGGGCCGCCGCGAATCGCGCGGCCATGCTGCCAGCTTGTTCTCAGACTTGGCATTGCTCACGCTTTGCAGGCTGAGGGCTGGGCAATGCGGAACTTCCTCATGGTGGCCAACACTGAGATGGCTTTGCGGCATCCTCAGCGATCAGCGCAAAAGCCTTCGCAACGAAACTGCTGTTGCCTAGGCAGCTTGCAGCATTAGCCGATGCAACCGATGAGCACATGGCCCTTGTGAGGCTGGCCGACACGGAAGATCTGGATGTGATTGAGTGGTTTGCAGGTTTCATTTTTCAAGGATTGAATTGGATTATTCGGAGGCCTTTTGGCTCAAGGATGATGCAAAATTGGCTTTTTGACCCCACCCTGTCCCACGCTCGCGCTGCGCTTGGGGGCTGCACTGACGTCCCAGGATCCCAGCCAATTCTTTGCTCTGGTGGGAGGTGCTGCAGGATAACTGCAGAGTATCCTGAGCACGCTTCGGGGGGAATAACCCGAAGAGTCGAGGTGGCTGCTGTGGATGCCAACGCAAATCCTACAAGAATGTGGGTTACGACACATGCTTCGGTCGAGAGTGGAAAATTTGCGGAGCGGTCAGAAAATTCTCCTTGGAATGAATCGTAAACCGACTGTAGACCCCACCCTGAACAAATCTTACGCCGCCTCTAAACCCTTCCAACAAATCCCACCCTAAACTAGCCGAAAATCCGACCCTAACCCCAACCTAAACAACTAAAAACCAATCCAAGCCCCGCAAACATATGTTTGCATCGTTTGGCGGCTTGCGCGCGTTTCCGTCCCCAAGCCGCCCTACCTAACCGATCGGCAGGGCGGAGGAGAGAAGAGGGGCAGGCCGAGGACCAAGGAAGTCTTGGTGGGATCTTGAGGAACCTGTTAAGGAGTCCTCAGGTCGGTCAGTGAAGGAGCCCGTTGAGCTATCTACGGCATCCAACGCAAGGGGGCTACTACAGCGCAATTCCCGATGAGCCCGCGCTGACTGTGTTGCTGAGAGCATCGAATGATTGACACCACCCTAAGCCAGCCCAAGCCCACCATGGACCCATTCCAAACCCAGCCATAAGCAACCCTAAACCAAAACCAAGCATAAACCCACCCTTCACTCAACCAAGACCCGCCCTAAACCAACCCAGCCCGCCCTAAACAAACAACTTGGGTCCACCACCCACCCTTTCCCAACTCTAACCCACATCAACCCACCCGCAACCAAATCCAAGTTAACCTTAAGTTTAGTTTGAATAAGCTCTTATTAATTTCAAGGCCAACTGTACACCCAAAGAAGTGAAAGCAGCTGCGCGCGACTATAGCAGTCAGTGTCGCGAGCGCGGCTGTCAACGGGCAGCAAAAACAGCCTCCAAACTCTGAAGGTTGCTGCTTCAACCGGACAAAGCCAAACGTGCCCAAACATGCCTTGCGCAACCCACCAATGTGTGCTGGCACATGAACGCGCTGTCAACTTCGTCAAGCTTGGCACGGGCCTGAGCTGCCTGAGCTTGCGCATTTTCCGTTTTATCCCCGCGGCAGATTTGGTGCGTCAACTTTGACAACCTTCATATATATATATATACTTATATAT